AGTGCTCCCTAGCACTAGGTTCCCTCTTGAAAGCTTGTAAGCCAGTCACTTCTTGCCTTTGTAGTCCCCCCCTCCCCATTTGAGTATCCAATGTCCAAGTTGCCCATCTCCGTCCACTCTGTGTGTGGAGGGGGCCCATATATGCATTCCTGATGAATATCGACACAGTAGCTAAATTATTAAGTAAAGTACACTTCTAGCATACAAATTTCAAGTAGCAAGTCAATTAGGTATAAATTTACTACTTACAATCTTTAAAGGATTTTTTTTTCTTGGTAGTTTGAAATTGTTTCAAATTTACAGAAAAGTTACAACACTATCACAGAGAACTGTGAATCCTTTACTCAGGTTCACCGGTTTTTGACAATGTGCTACGTCTACTTTATCCTCTTAAAGCATCTTTACATGTATGTAATCATCTCTCCCCTTTATACACACACACACCTGTCTTTATTTCTTTATTCTAATCCATTTGTGAAAATGTTGCATACAGTTTGTCCCTTTAATCTCACAACTTTAATGTGTTTTTCCCCCCAAAGAACAAGGCTACTAAAGAGCATGGCTGTAATCCAGTGATTTCTGAGCTCTACATCTCTGATTATCTCTTGTTGCTGAGACAACATTCTGTGCACAGTTATAATGTATGGTGCCATTCTGAATGCCGGGGAGAGAAGATTCAGTGGGCACCTAGTATCTTACAATTAGAGACATGTTGCATAAGTAAGGTGTGGAGAAGCTTAGAGCACAGCCTAGTCAAGCAATGTTACTTCTTAAAAGTAATTCCTTTTTAAAATTTGAAAACTCAAAGTCAGATTAGGCACCCTTCTCCAGTACTACTATCTTAAATGATTAAAAACATGGTTGATTACTGTTTTTGAACAGCCTGAGCTAAAGCTTCCAAGATCTTCTTTTAAATTGTGGTTTGTTGATTGATAGGTTCATTTGCACAGGATTGAAATGATAAGGAAGGGAGAATAAGCTTTTTTTAATCTTACTGCAAATTAAAAATTTTAAAATACAATGCTGGTTAATAGCTACATGTATGATTGTGTAAATGATACTGTATACTTTTATAATATCCACTTATCAAATGTAACATATTCTTTATGTTGACAGGTATCTTTGCTAGTCGTCATAATTGCTGCTCAGGTTTTAAAGCTGTATGTAAAAAATGACTTGTATTGAAGTCCATTAGTCAAAAATAAATGACAGTCATCATTTTTCTTCACTTACAAAATTTTACAATGAGAGCATATGACTTTGCTGATGAAATATTTTGTGTTACAATTTGCATTTTGTAAATTCTCTAATATTCATTGATAAACATAATATAACTTCATTATGCTTCATATGGACATAACCTCATCTATGAATAATTATTGACTTATAGAAATGTCCTTTTAGTCTAAATCCTGATGTTGGACCTATCTCCGTGTCTGCTAATGCCATTCTTTGTTTCCTGTTGTACTAGACAGGACACTGCTTCAGAATCAAGGTGATTAGAGGTCTAATTATTTTCATTTAAACAATTCACAGATTCTTCCAAGTGAACTTTATCATTAGCTTAAAAGGCATTAGGGTTGTCTCCTAATGCATGATGTCATTGCAGATGCTGTGATGAGTACATGGCAGGGAGCATGGGACCTGCTGTACTTTAAGATCAGCCTGGCCGCCATGAAAAGGAATCCTGTTTCTACTCTACTCCATGTTGACATTTCCTTAAGCTGTATTTAGAAGGCCAAGTAAAGCCTCATGCTCATTGTCAATTAGTGGAAGCGAATGTTGGTAATTTTGTGAATGGAGGGAAATTTGAGTGACTTAATCCAAATCCCAAGAAAATACAGAAATGAAGTGGCCAGGTATTATTGCTGAGCATTTTGATCAAAGATTCTATAGAAGATTCCAGGATTCAAGATGCTCGTGGACTCCAGACTTCCTGGAACCATGAAGGTCAGATAAGCTCCTGAATCTATTGTCCTGAAATAATTTTTAAACCTTAAACCAAAAATGCCCTCTGAAATCTTCTTAAAACCAAACAACAGTTGAGTTTAAATAACAAAAAATGTCTGCCTAGAGCATTATGCTCTTTTAAGCACCATCAATATGGAATCCAAGTGACAACAACTTGAAAGCCTAGATAGGAACCTAGGGCAGCAGATCGTTTATGTTAGTGGGCGGAGGAACATTTCAGAAAAAGAGGGTCAGAGAATATGATCAGTGTCCCCAAATAGTACATGTGAAAACACTTGATTTGGTGTATGTTTTGCTGTGTATATTCTCCACAACAAAATAAATAAATATATTTAGAATTGCTACCAGGCCAATACAATAAAACACTTAACACTTTTTTTTTTTTTTTTTTAAAAAGAGAGTACCCTAAAAGAAACATACTCATAAAATCTAATCTCATTCTCACCTGAAGAGATGAGAATTAATAATTTCTATTCCGTTCGAAACTACCAGCTGTTCCGTGGGAGAAAGATGAGGCGTTCTACTCCCATTAAGATTTACGTCCTCGGAAACCCTATGCAGGGTCGCTATGAGTCGGAACCGACTCCACGGCACATAACAACAACAACAACAAATTCATTTTAATTGCTGGCACGTTGGCCAGTTTGAGACACACCTAAGGCCTTTTTCCTGTCTGGACTTAGGAAAGCACCTAGTTCCTTTTTATGGAAGTCTGCCCACATCTGTGACGACAGCTCTTTCCTTGACCTGCTTACTTCTTGTGGTAAACATCCACAGTCACTGCTGAAAAAGGCAGCAGCAAGTGGTTATTCTCTGCTTTGTTCTGGTTTCCACATTTGTACATGTCATGAGCTTAATGGAAAATCTCATATCCATTCTGCTAGTTGTT